GCTTTAAAGTTACTAGTCAGGGATAAGAGCTTTGAAAGAAAAATCAAAATCAATAAGCAAAAACGATCTAATAAGTTATTAAATATAATTGCAAGTCACAATATAAGTAAAAATATTTTACCAGAAATGATAGTAAATTTTGAAGATTATTGGTTAGTAAATTCTGAAACAGATATTAATATAAAATATAAAGTAGAAAAGACTTACAAATCATGTAGTTTTGAATGTGTTTTACGCTGTGATAAGTGTCATATTTATATACATTCTTACAAATGTGCTTGCTTAACCCTAGAATAATTGTAATATACGTAAATTTTACGCATACGTCATATTTATAAGGTGGTAACACTGTGTATACTGAATATATCGTTTTGTGAATCTAGATATTATGCTTTTATCAGTTAGTTGTGCATATTTGTTGATAGTTATATTGTTATTTTGTACCTCCACAACTGTGTATGATAATGTCTACGAAAAATCAGTACGTAAGTTTTACGCATCGTTAGTAATACAAATAAATAATACTACGCAAAATATACGCATGTTTACCTATATGCACTAAAGAGTATACGTATATTTTACGCATAGTTACCAATACAGTATTGTTTTAAATTTAATAACTAGTACACAATTTATTAGTATTACAATGGCTGATAATTCAACGATTCTTCATATTTTGAGAGAACTATCTGAAGATGAGAGTGGTGAAGAAAGTGATATGGAAGTTGAAGATATTGAGGATCCAGACTATGTTCCTAATAAACATAATTTTCAAACAGAAGAAGAGATAAGTGAAGTTATTAGAGAGATAGAAACCCGTTCAATACCTCTATTAAAATCTAGAAAGAGAAAAATTAACTCTAAATCTCAAACAGATAATAATAATGGAGAAAATGAGAGAGAAACTGATCAAAATAAACATATAATAACTATTTCAAATACCTCGGAAATTGTGGGTAAAAATGGATTTGTGTGGAAAACTGAGTGCAATCATTCTAGTGGAAAAGTTCCACAAAAAAATATTGTTCATATCCGACCTGGGCCTTCATATTTAGCAAAATCTGCATATACTCCCAAAGAGTGTTTCAAACTTTTTTTTCGCAGACGAATTAATTAATTTAGTACTTATTTATACTAACCAAGAAATACAACGCCAAAGGGAAAACTATAAAAATAAAACTAGTGCAAATCTAAATGATTTAACATTGTCTGAACTTAATGCTCTGTTTGGTCTTTTGATTTTAGCTGCAGCATTAAAAAATAATCATTTGACTACGAATTTACTTTTTGACAGTTCGTTTTGTGGCAATAGATATCGTGCAATCATGTCAGAGAAAAGATTTTGTTTTCTAATTAATTGCCTTAGATTCGATGATCGAACAACTCGTTTGCAACGTAAAAATGAGACAAAACTAGCACCGATTTCAGTTGTATGGGATATTTTAACGATCAATTGTAAAAATAATTACAAGCCTAGTAGTTATGTCACAATTTATGAACAGTTGGTTGGCTTTAGAGGACGATGTCCTCTTAGAATGTATATCCCTTCAAAACCCACAAGATACGGAATTAAAATTGTTATGATGTGCGACAATGCAACTAAGTATGTCATTGATTCGGTTCCGTACTTGGGTAAAGGAACTGTACCAAACGGACAGGTTACAGCTGACTTCTATGTTAAAAATTTAGTTAAATCTATTAAAGGTTCTAATCGTAACATTACAATAGAGAATTGGTTTTGCAATGTACCACTTATTCAATCACTTTTACATGACGATAAACTTACGGTTATAGGAACAATAAAAAAAAACAAAAGAGAACTTCCAACTCAGTTCACTGATATTAAATTTAAAAATAGAACTTCCGATACATCGTTTTTTCTATTTCATGAAGATTTTACGGTTGTTTCTTACAAACCAAATCAAAGTAAACTTGTGACTTTTATTTCATCAGCACATCATGATTCATCGATTGATCCAATTACAAAAAAAACCCAAGATAGTGTTGAACTATAATGCTACCAAAGGTGAGGTGGATTCATTTGACCAGATGACTAACAATATGAACTGTAGCCGCAAAACCAAACGTTGGCCTTTATGTTATTTACATACATAACTTTTACAATAAAAATAAAAACGATGAAAAACCAATGTCTAGATTACAATTTATGCTATCTTTACACAAAGAACTAACGAACGAATGGAAACGACATAGATTGAGTTTTCCAAAAATCAGTAGGGAACTTGGAACTAACATCCAAGATGCGTTAGAAGAGAAGCAAGTACCAATCAACGACAAACCCCAACACGGTCCTCGAAAGTATTGCGATTATTGTTCTTATAAAAAAAGACGACTCGCAACCACATACTGCATTAGAGACTAATTTGTGGAGAGCATCAAAAAAAAAAGTGTCTAGACTGTTAACAAAAAAAATCTTTTTTATAATGAAATACGTTAATAGGAAGTTTTTATTTTTATTAATTTGTCAATATGAAGTTTTATATATGTACTATTATGTTAAGTTTTACAAATAAGTACAAAACAAAGAATTTTATGTTATTTTATTTGTTTTATTTTGTTTAAAAAATATGTTTATATTTGTTGATGTGATGTTAACTGAATACATTGAATAAAAAAAGTATGTACACGATTTAACAAGTGTTAAATTCTAATAATATGGTAATTAAGTAACTGAAAACAAATATGCGTAAATTTTACGCATCATTATCTATAGTAACATGTAAATTATCGTTACTATACTAGGGTTAAATAATGTAATTATTAATTACTAATTAGCTATAACATTTGTAAACACATTCACGCATGCGTTACAGCAAGTGAACCAACTCAAATATTAAACTATGAATCAAAAGTTCCTGTAATAACACCAGTTAGTGACAAAATAGTGATAGATCATGGATTAATAAATATTACAAATACTACAAATAACACTCAAGATTTTAATTGTCAAATAAAAAATAAAATAGAGATGATACTTGGAATGTGCAATCGAACAAATTTAAATAATGAAGACCAGAATAATGTTTTACGACAATGTGACAAAATACTTGATATATTTGCTAAAAACAAAGACATGAGTTTTCAAAATACACAGACAAATTTAAAAAAAAAAATAGAACCACAAGCACGTTTTATGCACAAAAAAAAAAATACTGGAAACAACAACAATGTCTTCTGCCGAAGAATCAATTATTAAAAAATCTTTAAAAGATGGTGCTGACGAAGTAATTAACGTAAGCAATTCTAAGTTTGACCATTCTTACATTTAAATAATATTTTTATTTATTTTATTAAGAAATGACAAGTACTTACACGTATGTCTTAAAGAGTATTGATTTTATATTGTAAATTTATTTATTTATCTCTTATCTCTTATAATATAAAACCAAAACCAGCTTCCGAATTTTTCCGCTAGAATGCACGTACTTTAGTACACTGGCCAATCGAAAAATTAAAATTTTTTCCTTATCGTCGTTATTTGATAACTACCGCGCGCGCCGTTATCGTTATCTCCTACCGCCGTCGTTATCGGTCGTTATTATTTGTTTTAGTTATACCGTTTTTTCCGCTTTTCCGGCCTTTGGAGACTTCTTTTCGTCGCGTTCTCTACGCCGTAGCCGAGAGCGGGTCTTTTTCGTCCCGTCCGCGCGCGTTTTTTGATCGGATTCGGTCCTCCGTCGCGGAGGCGGCCGCCCGCCAACGGACGTCGCCCGTTTTTCTCTCCGCCCGAATCGGTTTCGCTTTTTTCGCGTCCGCGCGTTTTCCGATCTCGCGAAACGCGTCTCTCGCGAGCCGTGCGTCCCCGAATTCCGTTCGCGGCCGTCGCCGTCGTGTCCGCAAAACGCGTACTCGCGGCGCGTTCTCCGGTCGGTTATCGTATCGTCACGTGTGTACTACTGTTTTTTTTTTTTGAGATTCGATAAATTATTTATCATTATATCGAATACGTGTCGTTTTGTTTTCGGTGTCTCGACCCTCGGACGCCTTCGCGACCTCATCGGTACTGTCTCGACGGCGTACGAAATACGATTATGTGTATAAAAAAGAAACGTGCTTACGTGCGTACCACTGATGACGTACGTTAGATATGACCAGATTCTTATATAAATTATACAAAAACATCGCAAAATTGTTGCTCTTCAGTCGTTGTAATGCCTTTAATTGCATACGTTTGGGGTGATATCGAGATATATGTATGTGATAATAAACTTGGTACATCATTAAGACGTACACGATTAAATAATGTAAATGAATACGCCAGAAACACTCTAAACGACAATAAATATGCGATTTACGGTTTCGTGACACGCGAATCGTAAAATTGTATCGCTTAAACAACGTGTAATATAGTATTCGTCGCATCTCTAAAACGGTTTTAGTGCTCGAGATTCGGTCGTAGTTATCAACTCAAACTGTAGTTGATAGGCATAAGCGTGCGCAGACATTATTGGCAGGGTAGTCATACATGATACATTACACATTGACATTTAACATGAACAAAAAATTTTTAATAGGGTAACTTTATTTAACTGCATTTACCATAATAAAAAAAATATTTTATAAGTAATAATTAAATGTAGTATACCTAAATTAGTTAATAAGTAAAATTTTAACAACACTATTTTATAAAATAAAGTATAAACATATTAGATATGTGTTTATTATAACTCCATACGCCTTTTGGCTGGTGTGTTGATTTTGAAATATTCGATAACTTCATCTACATCTATATTATAAGCCATATCTTGTTCGATGAACATAGTTAACAGTCCATCTAATCGATCTTGCCCCATTGTGCTTCGCAGTTTTGATTTTACAATACTGAGCTTTGAAAAGGAACGCTCACATGAGCAACTTATCACTGGTATAACTACAAATGATTTAATAGCTTTGAAAAAATTATTAAATATGGCTGTTCTATCAGAATTATTATTTGTCAACCATTGTATCCATTCTTCACATGCTTTTTGGTTACTTCCTTAAGGTATATTTTCCAATTTTTTCAGCAAAATAATTTCTGATTCTAACCCATGAAAATCCAAATTAAAAGCTGAAGCAATTATTATTGTATCTTCGTTATTAGTTTCTAATTTAAGCATATTACCAACACTTTTAATTAACTCTAATGTTTCTTGTTTGAAGCGATCACTTATACTTGAAATCATTACATCTAATGTGGTAAAATACACATTTATCCTCATTTCATCTTTTTTTGTTGATATAATGTATTGTGTTTCATTACAGTCAATTTTAGAAGACACTCGTCTTTTTTTCACATCAGGAATGGAAATGTTATTCTCTTCACATATTTCTAGAGTTTTATTGTATATATTTGTAAATGAATATTTGTCATTCCTCATAGACTTTAGAGATAATTTTAATGACTTTATGAGAGAAACTGCGGTTATAAGATCCAAATTTGAACTTTGTAAAGCCATACTTACCTTTAAAATAAGAGTCAAAATCGGGTGTAACATCTGTTGAGCGAATATAAAATCAAAAGTTTTCATCTGATGAATTAATCCAAGTGCTTTTGCTCTAACATCTGGTTGTTTCGTAGCATCACCAATTTCTTGTATTGCAATTAATATAGGTCCATAGTCTGATTTTACAGCAGAAACAGCCTTAGCACGGCAAGCCCAGCGTGTATTTGATACGGATTTTAATGTTTTTAGTTTTATATTTGCAGAGTTAGCTACTTTTTCAAGTGTTGCATGTCTTGTACAACTACTTTCTATAAAGTTGTAAATTAATTGTATGGTTCCAAAAAAATCGAATGTTACTCTATTTTGTCTTCCCAATGAATCAACTAAAACCAGATTGAGGCAGTGTCCGTAACAATGTACAAAAACTGTTTTATCATTTTTTTCTTTAAATTTGGCCTGCACTCCATTCAAACCACCAGACATTGCAGCAGCACCATCAAAACAAACCGATGAAACTGATTGCCATTGAATTTCATACTGTTCAATGACTTCACATAATGTATTAAATATACTTTGTGCATCAGTAGATAATAGCCTCTTCATGCACACAAACTGTTCTACTGGACAGTTTTTAATACTGTCATAATAACGTACTACAATTGACAGTTGCTCGTGGTGACCAATGTCGGAGGTTTCATCAGCAATTATAGAAATTTGTTGATTTTTTATAACAGACTTCAATTTATTTTTCAACACTGTGTTTATTGATGCAATAATATCATTCTGTATACGGTTGCTATGATATAATGCATTACGAGGTCCAGAATCAAAATGTTCCTTTAAAATAGGATCGTATTTTGTTAAAAGTCTGACTAAATCCAAAAAAAGCCCTCTATGGGCATCACCTTCTTTTTCATTGTGCCCACGAAATGGTTTTCCCCCAATACCAAGACATAATGTTATATCTATGAGTCTATGCATTATACATCGGTTGTTAATTTTTTTTTTCCCTTTCATTAAGCAACTTTTTGTTTTCCTCAATTAAAAGCAAATCTATTGACTTGGAATTTAAAAAATCTGTCATTGATGTAACACTGTTTAAATGTGATCTAGAAGTTTGGTGTAACTTAAACTTTTGACTAGCCATTTTCCAATTACTAAAACCATTTTGTGAAAATGTAGTATCTGATTGCCCAACATTGATTCCGGAAGAATTTTTAAATACTCGACAAGGAAAACAAAATGCACAATTATTTTTTGGACTATACTCTAGCCATGTAAATTGTTCATACCAATTTTTATGGAAACTACGTTGAACACCACTAATTATGCTCCTTGGGAACATTGTCAACACAAGTTGAAAAGGACCTCTCAAAATCCGATCTTTCAATTCTAGACGATTTGTAGGTAAAGAGCGTTTAGGATCATCAGGATGCAGTCCGGTAAAATCCTCATTAATTGTATCTGTTATAAAAATGAACAATTTGATATGAAAATAATTTTGTGAAAATAAATTAAACTAAATACTTTGAATTTATTGAATTATTTAGACCTTCAATACTACATAGGAATTATACTTTTATTTGGTTATTAATAATTAGTTAATATATTAATCTTTCTCTATAAATTATTATTTTTATATAAAAAAAAAAAAAAAACAAAAACAAAAACTAATTATATAGTTATAGACAATATTTTAAAGTTTATATTAAATATTACTTACTTTATTAACATACATTTTTAATTTTTTTGCTGACAATTGAGTCCTTAGGACATAATTAGAGTTAAAAGATCTCAGAACACAGATGACAGAGCTATTCACTAATTAGTACAATAATAATACAATAACATATAGGTTAAATACAAAACAATACATAAGTTAGTTACATATAATATTAAGAACAATACAAATTAACAAACACAGCTAACACAATATATTTAGCACTTAAAAAAAAGTTATTGGAAAACACAAGTTGTAGTTATAGTTATATCATAAATGATATCTCACTACAAAAAAAAAAAAAAAATCAAAGAAAATTTGTTCATACCAGTAGAAGCTGTTTTCATATTACATGGTAATAATGACTGGAAGTTAGATTCGAACGGTTCAGTTTCATCAGAGTTAGAATTTTCTTAAAATAAATAACATGAAAATTTATTTATTTGAACTTATATTTATATGTACCATGTATATTTCACTTATTAATAATAAACAATACCAATTACCAGTTGAATCCGTTGTAATAGATGAAACGCTAGAATAAGGTAAAGGATTGTCTACCTCACATTCCTCCAAAAATGCATGTGTATCTGATTGTGCACCTAATTGATTAATACAGACAATTACTTACAAATTCAATAATTTTACAATGTACTATTATTTAAATTAAATAAACTGATGTAGTGTTGTATATGGTTAGGTATTTATATATTTTTATGTAAAAATACAAAATATCAAATAAATGTATTTAATAAGTTCAAGCTGCTTATGAAGATAAAAATACTTAATATTTTTACTTACTTGTACTTGGTGTATTATTTTTGAAATAATCAAATATGGTCTTTCGTTTTTTCATTGTCAATATTTCAATAAAAAATTTTTTGAGATTAAAATCACAATTCTAAATTAACATACACCTTATTAAATAATTTACAAATTAAATTCTTTATAATATGTAGGTATCGTTTTTTCGAGCAATAATTCGTTAGTCAGTAGTCACATTCGGTAAAAACACGAATACTTTATCATAATATTAATATCACAAACGAATATCGATATTATTCAATGGTCTACCACGGAGCCATAGAACCTAAAATAGATTACTCCATGGCTAATTATAAATATGTATATATTTAGCCATGGATTACTCAATGTTGTAAACTGAAATCAACCAGTCTGGTTTGCGATAAGATCATAGAGTATTACCACAGACTATACGTCAAATCTCGATACAATAGATATATAATACAATATATAATACAACCGTGGATACAGATGTAACTTTTTAACGTATCGTAAACTTCTTGAACACTCGAGCCCGTTTCCGGAACGTATCGATACGTATCGTTTTCTTCCTTGAAAATCTTGTATATGAAAACATAGTCTGTGGTATTACTCTATGGATAGAATTCAATGTTTGAACAGCGATAACCATGATACAATAAATTGATAAAATAAAATTATGATATATTTATTTTATCATGGCAGTTACTAACGACGATATATTTTTTTTAATTTTTCCAGTATTCTTATTTCTAACATTTTACCGTTTACGGACATACTGAAATGGTTAAACATAATATTAAGTTGAGGAGGGGGAGTTGTTCGCAGAGTAGTCAAGTGCCTACCCTGACTACCCCGTGTGCACGCTTATGTTGATAGGTGTTAGGATAGGTCCTCCGTCGTTAGGTAGGCAGGTTAGAATCTCGTTCCGGCGTAATCCGGGCGGCTCCATAAGAAACTGCATGTTCGGTTGTTTTGCATTTTTTTTTTCCATTTAATTCGATCATTTTGTATATTTGTATGTCAATTAATTGCTATTTTCGTTTTGATATCCAATCTTATACTACTACTCATAAAATATTTTTCAAATTTTAAAAATGATTTTTGATCTCGCACATTTAATGCACATTTATATTGCTTGATTGATGATGTCAAAATATATTATATTATAATATACTTTACACGAACATTAAATTACACAATAGTATTCAATTATTCATTTTTTAAATAGATTAAAGATAGATTATTGTATTCAATAAATATATAAATATTTATGTGTGTATATTTTATACATTAAAACTTATTATATTATATATACTTAATTAAAAATAAAAACCAATTATAGTTATTGCTAACAGTCTGCACAATTCAAATGTACATAATATGTGATATGCAATTTATATTATAGCCTGAGAACATTCTATTGATGACAAAACAGTTGTTTCACTCAGTTTTGACCGTGAATTCACTATTTTATATCTTTAGCCTTTCAGTTGTTTACATTTGAAAGATACGGGGGAAAAACAGTGGTCCATTTTTTTTTTTTTTGATTTTTTAAGTATTTTGTCATCACAGAAAGTGCATAATATTTCTTTTCGATATCTAACCATCTATAAAATATAAAAAAAATATTAATTATGCATAGTTTTTTGATCTTCAACTCGCTAACGTTTGACATACATTTTCCATAATACGTTTAATATCCTCCTTTACGCCCACATCGTCCGCATCGTACCTGGGAGGTTTAAAACACGTTTAACTGGATTTTCAATGGTGATCGCTTGAAAAATCGAGCGCTCGATTCGACTTAAACTTTTTTGCGTACTAATCAGCACAACGCCTTCGACGTCAGGAGGTATGACAATCCGCCGCAGACAGGATTGCCTTGTCAGGAATCCATATTCACTGGACGATGACTGATAGCTAGACGCTTGATAACCGTTTCGGAGTGTATTTATTTATTTTTCATACTCAAAAGCATCGGGCGAGCCACGGGAAATTCATCCAATCCGCCGAAATTGGATTGCCCTGTCCAGGGCCGTCTTTAACGTTTTTGAGACCCTGGGCAGTGGTAAAATGGGGCCCTTACAACTTGGGCAGAACAATATTTCATTAAAACAGGTAAATAGCAAGGTGAAAGAAAAGAAAAAGTCTAAATTAACTGTAAATTATTATTATTATTTTTTTTTAATTTCACATTAAATATCAGGTTGTAAACATAAATTTAAAAATAATTATAAAATAACCCGGAAATGTTGAACATTCTATTTTTATTGAAAAAATACCTTTCTAGATTTAAGATTGGCAAAATCGTCAATTACTTCTTTGAAGTCTATGTTTTTGAGCATATCACATTCTATTGACATCAACGACAAACTGTTCAATCTTTCTTGTAGCATTGTACTTCTTAATTCATTTTTAATTTGCTTCAATTTGGAAAAAGAGCGTTCTCCACTGCAGTTAGTTACCATCATGCTTAAAAATATTCTCAATGCAATTTCTACATTTGGAAATGTGTCTTCAATTTTATTTTCTTTCAAAAGATGATATATACCTAATATATTATCAGTTTCTTCATTTTCACTAACATGCTCCAAGTATTCTTTTAAATGTAAACCTAACCGAGTTATCTCTCACCAATTGTTTTGTAATTTTAGAAAATGTTTGTGCTAAATAAAATACAGAGCTAGCACCTGATTGTCTACCCATACTGAAATAATCTCTTATAATCGATTGCGGGCCACATGATACATCATCGAATATAATGATAGAATTTTTTTTAGTGAGAATTTGTTTTATAACTTTGTCATTGTTTGTGAATATAAAAAAGTTAGCACCCTTTATATCATCTATTATTTTTTTAATAAAATATATTTTTCCTGATTAGAAGTTTTTGAGTATAAATAAATATTCTCAAATCTTAATCCGTTTTCATGTGTGATTAGGTTATACATTATATTTGTTTTACCCGAACCACTAGGACCAACTATAATAGCACGTATAGTGTCGGGTAATAACGGACCGTGTTTTGACAATTTTTTTATTACTTGAGTATCAACATTTAAAATATCTAATTTACTCTCTTATAAATAGTCTTCCGTTTGAAGCTCACATTCCTGGTTATCAGTTTTGTGGTCCTGTTACGAAATTAGAAAAGCGAATAGATCGTGGTGATAAAGGAATAAACCCATTAGATAACGCCTATCGCGATCACGACTTAGTGTACGCGAAAAGTAAAAATTTAGATGAAAGACATAAAGCTGATAAAGAGTTAGAAAATCGTTCTTGGGAAAGATTTAAAGCTAAAGACACTCATCGAAAAGAGAAAATTGTTGCCTACTCGGTATTAAATGCGATGAAGGCTAAACAAAAAAATGGGGATGGGTTATAAAAGTAGACAAAAACAAGCTAGAACAAAAAATAGTTCATTAGCAACGAAAAAAAGAAGCAAGGTTAAGAAAAATTATAGTGGTAAAAG